ATATTTTTCTAGAGGACTATAGTCCTTTTTGAGCGTCCAAACGAACGTAAGTTCAATTGATCATTAGTCCAATTGAAATAACACCAAAAATCAACTTATGAAGCAAAATGGGTCTGTGTGCACTGTACACTGTTTATGTCTGTGTACACTGTACACTGTTTATGTCTGTGTACACAATACAATTTGTGTGTTATATGTTCATTGAACTATTAAATAACTTGAGTCTTCCTTTTCCACAGTTATATGGGCACCACTGTATACTTATGTCTGCCATTAACCTATCAGTTAATCAGCATGTTTTTCCCTTGCCTGTTAATCTCTCTGTCTGTCTATCACAAAAAGGTGCATTGTTTTTAATTAGGGCTGGGCGTCTTTCCAGGGGAACGATCGTTCTTTTACGGAAACGAACGGAACAATACTTTTCAAAAATTAGGAACACTCCCAGCTCTATGGATTGAGCGTCGTTCTTAGAGAAGGATCGTTTGTTCTCGGGAACGAACGAAACGAACGAATTAAAAAATGAGGAACACGCGCAGCCCTACTTTTAGTCATTTTATTCTATACATTCTTCGTAAACAACGCAATAGCAGCAACCTGCAAGCCTTTTTTCCCCATGTTTGTTTGAATTCCCGCCTTAAGCCCAAATTTCCCCCTGTACAGCTGAATCCCCCATGTAATATGTGCATAAACAAGTTTTAACCTGTCTAATAATTTATATCAAAAATTTCGACAAACTCAAAACATCAAAAAAGGGGCCCCCCCCCCCCTCCCTCCTCTAGGGATTGAAATATCTTTTATTTTTATTTATCAGAAAACAAATTTTCTTAATATTGAAAATATTTTGATAAGATTTATCCCTGAAAGATAAAAGTATAAGGAAAAATAAACAGAGTGGAAACTGAGGGAAATCATGGGAAATGTGAGAGTATGAAACTTACGCGCATTTATCTTATTTTCTGTTCAAACATTTTAAGTTTTCAAAATAAAAAAAGCATAATAAATCATAAACATGTGTACGCTGTTTTACGTTACTAGCATTTTCAAACATTCAAAAGTTAATTTTTTTGTTCTGGTCCTTTTAAACATTAGCCATTGATATTTCTTAAATATATAACATCAGCTGGCAAACAAAGTGTTAAGAAATTAAATGCGACATCCAACATGTCTGACATCCTTGATCAGACAAAGGTTTAAAGGGTACTGTTGTGAATTGTTGTAAATCCTTGATCAGTCAAAGGTTTAAAGGGTACTGTTGTGAATCGGGGATGATCCGCTTTAAATTGATGGTCACTTGAAATTACGCTCACAGTCCCTTTAAGTTGAGTCCCAAACCGTTTTCAAATATTGAAGTGTCGTAACACCTTGGTTTGTTCCACTATGGTTCCACTTAAAATTTAATCATGTTTTTCAAGATTTAAGCCGGCGCTCAATTGAAACCGCAGTTTTTGGGGGATTTGAGACGTGGCTTAAATTCATTAAACTCGGACCTTAGACATTCAATTTCAGAACCATAAAGGACAAATGTTCTTAGCTTGATTATTTAAGAAGAAATTGGCAAAATTTTATCAAATTTTTACGTGAGAGTTTGTCAGATTTGGATTACTGTGTGTGATATTATGTATATGTAAAAAGATCAAACCTCCATTTTTATGAGTCCCTACAAAAGTAGGTTGTGGTTCCAAACCGAACTATGAAATCATCTGACAACTGATTTAAAATAATTTTGAAAAAAATGTTCATAATTTTGAATAAAATTTCATAATTTTGAATAAAATGTTCATAATTTTGAATAAAATATTCATAATTTTGAATAAAATTTCATAATTTTGAATAAAATGTTCATAATTTTGAATAACATGTTCATAATTTTGAATAAAATGTTCATAATTTTGAATAAAATGTTCATAATTTTGAATAAAATGTTCATAATTTTGAATAAAATGTTCATAATTTTGAACAAAATATACAAAATTTTAAAAAGAATTGTCATGATTTTTGATAAAATGATCATAACTTAATATAAAATGTTACAATTTTGAGAAAAAAAATTTCAAACAAAAATACTAAATTTTGAAAAAAATCATAATTTGAATGTTTAAAATTTTAAATAGCTTTTATTCAGCAGTGTAAAAACCTACTTAAACAACTTTAACCCCACTCCCCTCCTACGCCTTTGCAAATCTGCCAGAAATACCACCTTTCAGGGGTTGAGTCGTTTTAACCTATTTGATTGCTAAGTATATATAGTTTAACAAGATTACTGCGACTAGTCTAGAATTAGAACTGGATAAAAACCCATTCAAAATTTCACCCTCAATTCTAAACCTCGCCACGCCTTAGTTCACACTTTTTATTAATAATAAATCGTCGGTGGCCGAAAAGTAATTTATTTAACAATTTCCCAAATTTTATTTATTTCATTTTTATTAATGATGGTAGTGAGTTTTTTTTTTATCTTTTCGTACTATTCAGTTATTCGCGCATTAAGTTCACTTTGCCGTGGAAATTTTGTAATTAGAGCACCGTCAGCTGTTTGGTCTGATTTGTAGGTTTTTATAAAGAGACATCTATCAATCAAGTTTTGAACTAGATTGTCAGCCCGCCCTTGTCTGCCCTAGCGCTCTGGGGTACTAACTAGAGTTTAACAAGAAGAGGGGCTTTAATGTTTCGCAGTCACACCCTTTAAGTAGATTGGTAGGATCAAGGGGGGGGGGAATATTTTCCAACCAATTAAAGGGACACTAAGCGTATATTTAAGTGACCATCCATGCAGAGAAAGCAAAATGCTCGATTCACATCGATACTCTTAAGCGTCACTTTTGGGGGAAAAACCACAATTTAAAACTATACATTTTCAATATAATAAACATGGATATCTCATTCATTCTTGATCTGCAGAATAAGGATAAGGATACAGTTGGGATTTGAGATTACACTTATAGTCCCTTTAATCAATCGTTTTTTTTCAGAGGTGAAATCGTTCTTGCAAAAATGTTTAGCAAGATAAAGGTTGAAGAAACAACTCATTTATAAAATTTGAATAATTTAAAGGTTTTTCTGCTTGCTTATGAATATAAAGAAGTTAAACCATTTATCTTACATCAAATATTGATTCCTTCTCTTCATTCAGTACAAAAATTACTGAATACTTGGATAGATATAAAGTTAGACAAATAGATAAATAGATAGAGAGATTAATAGATAGAATTGTAAATAGATAGATATAGATTAATAGAATTGTAATTTATAGATAGCTAGACAAATAGATATATAGACAAACCGACAGACATACAGAAGGATAGACAGACAGACAGACATACAGAAGGATAGACAGACAGATATAAAGATAGATAGACAAGTAACTAAGTGTTTCGAAATTAGCCAGCTTACACTTTATACTTCTAACACGATTTTTGCCCTGTAATTGTAAAATCCGTTAAATCTATTAAAAAACAACAATTGTCTCAAACGGACATTTGTTAAAATTGGTTTCAATATAATTTAATTCCTTAAATGGGGTTATTCAATAGTATTTCTTATTTTAACCCTATCTCCGCTGGGGTACTTGAAAACCAGGATACGCGGGGGGGGGGTCAATTTGACCCCCCCCTCTAAATCCCATGTTTTATGTCCAAATATGACAAATGATACATCATTAGAAAGCTCTTGTGCTCTACTTTTAGAATCTGCAAAAAAATTTGCAAATTTGCGAAAATTGAATTTTTTATCGCAAAATCCAGTTTTATAGTAAAAATGTTTGCAAAAAAAAATTTGTCCAAAAAATGACAAATTATACATTTTTGAAAAGCCCTTGACTATGCTATTTCAAATATGCAAAAATTTTTGCAAAATTTTAAATAACCTGATTTTTAATCAAGAAAAACTAAAAATGTGCAAATTTCCTTTGACAGGTTGTTTGCAAAAAATTTGCAATTTTTTTTCGCAAAACTTATGCAATCCGTTTCCTTATGTCATAGGCTTTCCAAAAAGCTAAATTTTATCAAAATCTGACAAGTGAAAGTGGGTCAAAACAAAGATTTAGTTTGCTACAGGCAAAAGCAGTCATTCAGGCAGTGTGCCTGAGGACTCAGGCAGTTAGTATTAAAGCCCGGTTTTAGGCCTAAAGGGAGGGCTTTGAGTATGTAAGAAAAGTCAGAAAATTTCAACAGCCTCAGACCAATACTTTTTGAGTTATGTAAAAAAAACTACAGGGGGGGGTCAAATTGACCCCCCCCCAGCGGGAATAGGGTTAACGTTGAAAATTTGATTTTGGCCAATTTTAGTTGCTAATTTATAGTATCCGAAAAGCCAAATATTTTCTATTTTAACTTAAAAGTCATGGTAAATTATAGTTTTTATCAATATTGCCATCCTTTTACACTCACCAATTTACACTTTTCTGAAAATTTGTTCGAAAGTAAATTTGAATGGACTAGTTTTAAAGTGTGATCAGGCTGGACTATTTTTTTTTTATAAATGAAAACACGGATGTTTGAGTTTTCTCGGTAAAATCCTAGTAAACTGGGCCAATTAGATCGAAATCTTATCTTATTTATATCATAACTTCTATAATTGAAGGGATATTGAGAAGAATAAAATTGTTTTGAAGGGCTAATATGTAAACGGAAATATTTACTCTTGCGTCAAATCAGAACTAGAAGAGCAATAATAATAATTACAATTGACAATTGAATTTGACCTTCTTCTCCTGGTTAGGTTGCAGGTGAATGTTAACATGTTTAAGATCACAATTCACTCCTGTATGCCGGGTCCATCAGCGCCTGATCCAATCAGGGTTCAGTCATGTGTTTGGTGTCTATGAACCAATAGAAATAGTATGGCGGTAACATCTATCTTTCTATCTATCTCATTATCCAATTAGAGTTATGAATCCTTCAATCGGCGCTATAAGTAAATGGAAATATTTACTTCTACTGAAAATATGAGAATTGCGATCCCTAGCTTAGTTATAGCAACTCTCTACACATTAGGAATATTGGTGAAACTTGGAGTATTAAATATTTTTATTTGGTTTGTATTATCTATTGTTATGTATATACAGCGGTTGGCGTTTATATAAAGAAAACGAAGACGACTTCTTATCAATAATGATATCGGACAACAGTTTCTCTAATTGCAAGATTACATGTAAACAAAGTGTTAATTAGCAACTTCTCTTTGTTTACATGTCTATGTGTCCCTGCTGTTGAAAATTGATAAAATAAAAATTGAAATAGAAAGTCGTCTTTGTTGAATTGATATATATGACGACGACAGTATCATATTTTGTTTCTTTATAACACATGATTTTTTTTTTACCTCAAAGCAATACATTGATAAATTCCTTGAAAATGACTGGTAATTAAATCTAATCTAAATTTTGTACTTTCCGCTTTACATTGTTTTATTTTATATATGATAATTGTTTGGCTGTTTGAATTTAAAAATGAAAAATAAAATGTTTATATTTGCGTGATTTGTCTATTTTTAAGTGGTTGATCCGTTTCCTGCTCCGTGGCTAAAGTAAAATCTATTTCTTCGAGGTCAGAGAATCTTCTTTGTTTTCCAGAGCCGCCCTGTGCACCAGTTTCAGCCTGATCATCAGAATCATCCTCAACCATTCGCGCCATGTCGTCTTCGTTCTCGTCCATGCGTTCTGGGCGCACATGTTGCCATCTTGCGGCAGTCAGCAGAACTATTAACCCTAAAAGCTGTGATATCAGAGATCTTTAAAATGCAAACGTCAAAATAAAGCAAATAATTTTTACCTACTATTACCAAACAAGCAATCCCAGTAATAGTTGACCAAGTTACCCAAGATGCCACCTGTGGTAAATGTACTATAATTATATTTAAAAAAGAAAAATTTGGATTGCTGACACTATATACTACTTTGTAATCAATTAATCGTAAATGAACATTTTTTTCGATCGAAGGACAATATTTGAGATACACAGAACTAAGAAAAAGAGGTAGGGGTTATTTTTACATTTTTAGTATAGATGGACAACTTTAGAACTGGTCTTATTGTAAACAAACATTTATAAACATTATTTTCCGACCCAGCCCGCATGGTTTTACCCTTTTTGCAACAAGCCTTAACTTTCGAAACAATAGTTCTAATTGCTATTCTAATTTGCCTTCATAGTATAGTAAAAACAACCTCTCACTATCCTTGTTAAACTGATCATTGCTATATATGTTGTGTACCTCAACTCTAGGAGATATTTTAGAAATGCCACACTCTGTTACATAATCTGTACAGCAGGCGCGTACTCCAAGTAGGCATATCGGTGTACAGTCACATACCCCCTCAACCCAACCATTAGATGCAATGTAGTCGGATCCATTCCTATATTATATTAATGCTTATATGTACTTTAAAGGTACGTATGTCCAATGAAGACCAATTTCTATCTCAATCTCGATTTCTACTAAGCTTTCAAACTGCAGAAACACATAAACATTTAGATAAACAAGCAGAAGTTTAAAATTGTAAATTAAAAGTTTTTTTTAACTGCTAAATGTAATTCAAAAAATGCTTGTTTGGGATCAAATCATTATTAATAAATAAATTGTATTTAAAAATATTAAATTATTAAATATTAAAAATAATCATTTATGTTTGATCCTGATATCCACAGTGACCACTTTTAATTTGGGGATCAATGATTATTGATTAGTCTCTTCATTTCAGTTGTCAGTTCAGCACTACACTGCAGATATCGTGTAAAGATTAAATTAATCTGAAGATTAATAAATCATTGAGATCAAGCATTTATCTTAATATCAACAATGTAAGAGTTCCCAGCTCTGTTGATATTATCTACAAGGTGTACCATATGTACACTGTACATAACTACCTGTCACAGCGTCCCCAGCAGCTGGCGGGAGATAGAGATTTCAACGTTGTTGGTTGGGGTCGGGTGTGACTGGTTCTAACTTCAGTACAGTCACTACCTGGATAATGGTAGTTATGTATGTTACAAGTTTACAGGATTGAAGCTAAGGAGGGGGAGTAAGCACATGACTCCTTGAACATGGGTGACCCCCCCCCCCCCCCCAACTAACTATTGAGAAAACATAAATCTACCATGATTCTTGCTCAAGAGATCCTATAGATTATCTTCAATTTTAGAATTTTACTTAAAAAGATTTTAAATGAAATGAAACTTAAAAAATGAACGATAAGATTTGTTTCAATTTAAAATGCATTAAAAAAGTTACTTGATTTTTTAATAAGGAACATTGAACATTTTTTTAAAGAGTCAAATCGTTATGTTTCATATTTTTCAAAAGCTATGGGATCCAAAGTACAACAAATACCCTTAGATAGTATTTATTTCAAGTCTTCCACTAAAACAAAGAGGTTTTAAACGTCTTAAAAGTTAATCCTATGTAAAACATATTTTCTTGACAATGAACATTTTTCATTTTTCTTACCGTTCAAAATGTGTATTGCATCAATGGCAATATCACTAAGATAACTGTTTCCCACAGTTCCCTCAAAGAAAAGCTGGAATGGGTTTCTAAAAATACAAACTTTAAATAAATATTTAAAAATTTGTTGGAAATATCTGTGAAAATGTATCTCGAAAATTCGCAAAAAAAACTATCGACATGTGTGTATACTGTATACAATACTGTGTACAATTCTTGATATAAAATGAGATTATCATATTAAGTTTAATCAACATGTCATATCAAATTCTAAATTGTTGACATCCATACTGTCTCTGGCTTCATGGGAAATTATAAATATAAAATCCGATTGAGTAAAGCTCAAAAGCTAAATTTTAAGCCATGGGAACAAAATTTAAAATATCAAATTAACAAATTAGACTTCCATCCTTTTACACCGACCCCCCCCCCCTCCTTCCATGTTTCTTTTTTATATTTTTTTTGTCTCGTTTATTGTTTTTTTTTTATCTAAAATCGGTTGAACTCAATTTCATTTGCGGCTTCTCAGAAATACGACGTTATTCTCCACATTTTAATCAGATTAAGGTTTAAGGGTATCGTTGTAAATCGGGCATGACCATCATTGCATGGAGGGTTACTTGTAATTAGGCTTACATACCCATTAATCTGGTTATATACGTTTTTCCAAGCTTAAAAAGTGTTTAATTATCACAATGAACTCCATTGTTTCTGTAGCTATAAATTTGAAAATCACATTTAAAGAGAAACCATTATCGAAAAAAAACAATTTCTTTTCGAAAAATTATTGACGACTCTCTAAGACTTGTTCAGACAGATTTCTTTTCAGGGTATCGTTGTAAATAGAATGGACGGTTACATGAAATTCACCCCTGTATGCGGAGTCCATTAGCGCCTGATCTAATCAGGGTTCAGTCATGTAATTGTTGTCTATTCTGAACCAATAGAAATAGTATGGCGGTAACATCTATCTTTAATTCTATCTATCTCATTATCCAATAAGAGATAAAAACTTTTATCGGCGCTATCAGTAAATGGAAATATTTACTTCTACTGAAACTATAGTGAAGCCTACAGTGATTTTAAATGTTTTGTTTAGTGTAATGTACAAAGAACTGCAAATAATGCAGGGGCATCGAGTGTCATAAAACTCAAGACGATATATAAATAATTATATATATAAATATATAAATTTATCTATCAGATAAAAAGTGGTATTGTAAAACATTCTTGAAATATATAATTGATTGACACAATGTCATAATCCATTAGATTTAGTTGCTGTGGCATTTTTCCTAGCCACTTACCCGGTAAAGATATTTTAATGAACTTTTCAACTTGTATCATAAGATTTATAGCTAATATTATTAAATCCTAGCTGAAGGGCCAAGCGTTTCTTTTATTTAAAAAAAAAAATTATTTCGATTTTTATAACCCTATTACACCCCCCAGCTACCATGAGTGTCCACAAAAAATGTTCAGCCCATTTGGTCCAGCCGTTTGGCCGGCTAAAGGCAACATATATATGAAGTCTTGTTTTGTTTTATAAATTTTAAACTACCGTGGGACAGGAGGACGACATTTAAACAACCGTATTCGTTTTTATGTTGCCACAAAAAAAATAAGTTTACCAGCTGCTTAAAACTCAACTTCTGAAGTGATATGGTTCTGTGAACATTGCACAAGTGATGTGTTTCATGTTCATTGAACTATTTAGAATTACAATTTTTGTCTCACAAATGTCTTCCTAGTATTAATCCTAGCTAAGCATGTTGATAAAAATACAACAAGCTTATTTTACTAAATAAAAACGTTTCGTATTATTTAAAGATCTAAAGATGCGTTCAGAAAAAAATAATTAGCTATAATTCGTAAGTAGAATATACTGGAGGGCTGGATGTGTACAACAGCTAGGTTCCAAACTATGTACATATATACCTGGAGGGCTGTATCTGTACAACAGCTAGGTTCCAAACTATGTACATGTATACCTGGAGGACTGTATCTGTACAACAGCTAGGTTCCAAACTATTTACATGTAACTGGAGGGCTGTATCTGTACAACTGCTAGGTTCCAAACTATCTACATGTACCTGGAGGGCTGTATCTGTAAAACAGTTAGGTTCCAAACTATGTACATGTACTTGAAGGACTGTATCTGTACAACAGCTAGGTTCCAAACTATGTACATGTATACCTGGAGGACTGTATCTGTACAACACCTAGGTTCCAAACTATTTACATGTACCTGGAGGACTGTATCTGTACAACAGCTAGGTTCTAAACTATCTACATGTACCTGGAGGACTGTATCTGTACAGCAGCTAGGTTCCAAACTATCTACATGTACCTGGAGGACTGTATCTGTACAACAGCAAGGTTCTAAACTATCAACATGTACCTGGAGGGCTGTATCTGTACAACTGCTAGGTTCTAAACTATCAACATGTACCTGGAGGACTGTATCTGTACAACAGCTAGGTTCTAAACTATCTAATTGTACCTGGAGGACTGTATCTGTACAATAGCTAGGTTCTAAACTATGTACATGTACCTGGAGGACTGTATCTGTACAACAGCTAGGTTCCAAACTATCTACATGTACTTGGAGGACTGTATCTGTACAACAGCTAGGTTCCAAACTATCTACATGTACCTGGAGGGCTGTATCTGTACAGCAGCTAGGTTCCAAACTATGTACATTGTACATGGACTTGAAGGACTGTATCTGTACAACTGCTAGGTTCCAAACTATGAACATGTACCTGGAGGTCTGGATCTGTACAACAGCTAGGTTCCAAACTATCTACATGTACCTGGAGGACTGTATCTGTACAACAGCTAGGTTCCAAACTATGTACATGTACCTGGAGGGCTGTATCTGTACAATAGCTAGGTTCCAAACTATGTACATGTACCTGGAGGACGGTATCTGTACAACAGCTAGATTCCAAACTATCTACATGTACCTGGAGGGCTGTATCTGTACAACAGCTAGATTCCAAACTATCTACATGTACCTGGAGGGCTGTATCTGTACAACAGCTAGATTCCAAACTATCTACATGTACCTGGAGGGCTGTATCTGTACAACAGCTAGATTCCAAACTGCTCCAAAGTCGCCAATAAATTCATCTAGAGTCTGTAAATTATCCTGAAATAGATCAAAATTATATTATCCTGAAAGCGATCAAAAGTAATCATCCTGAAATTGATCGAAAATAACCATCCTGAAATTGATCAAAATTAACCAATCTGATATTTAGCTTACATTGACAGATTATTAGGCTTTTATTAAAGTCTCATCCGTTTTCGGGCAACTGTAGTAGTTTTTTTACCTGTAGCCCATCTGGCCCCTGACCCACCCTCAAGCTTCCCATGTCAACTCCCTAAGCAAAATTTGAGTCAAAGTTATTTTTTTTATAAATTTTTTTTGATAAAATTAAGGTAAGCTAATAATTAAAAACGACTCAAACAATAGAACGTAGCGTCCACACAAAATCATAAATTTCAATATTCGACTCAGATTGTAAAAACAATCAATTTAATTCCAAACAAATCATTCAGATATTACAACCTATAATTATAGAATTTTATTCGATGCATCCATATCTAGTTGATAATTTATTTCATAATATTTTTATTGGTTTTTATATATGCTGCAATAAACAACGATAAGGCGTATCTCTGCTCTCGATGTTTCTGCATGGTTCAACAATGGAGAGACACCTAGTGGACAAAAAATTTTCATTGCATAAAGAAAACATATTGAAAATGTTATGAAGTATCTATATGATGCGTCGAATAAAGTTCGAAGATTATAGGTTGTAATATCTGAATGATTTGTTCGGAATATTTGATTTGAGTTGAATAATGAAACTTTGTAAATTTGTATGGACGTTACGTTCTTGGGTATGAGTCGTGTTTAACCATTTTTTCCTTAAAGACGCAACAGATAGAAGTAAGATTTAGTAGCGATCACCATCGAATTCTTTTTGACGTAAGCCATACCCCCTTTTCGCAAACAGTCCCTTTAAATTCGAAATGTTTGCACTGTTAGAAAAACAATTTTACAGTGCCTGACATATCAAAGATGTCAAATAAAAATTCAACCTATCAGAAACTGGACAGTTTTCACTGTAAATGTGCCGAGAACTTTTTTTATTCTGATTGTTTAAAGAAAATTGTGCCAATGAAGTAAAGATCAAGTGAGCTGCGCCTTATGTAAAAAATGTCATGTAAAACTTTTATAATGTGCATTTTTTTGCATAGAGAAAATACAGTGAGTACACATTGATGTTTTCAAAAGACAACTTAAGTTATTTTTACGGTGCAATACCTGCATATAAAAAGCAAAAAAGATGCAGGCGTCAGTACTAATGTTAGCTGGGTAAACTGGAGATATAAATCTAGCCTTGGATCCAATCTTCTCCCCTGATGCTTCCAGGTATATGTAACTAGCACCAACTAAATATAGAGTTGGGAATCATGCATGCTTGTTTTTTATATCAGCATGCGATAGCATGCTAGTGTTGATGATAGCATGCTAGTGTTGATGATAGCATGCTGGTGTTGATGATAGCATGCTAGTGTTGATGATAGCATGCCAGTGTTTTGATGATAGCATGCTAGTGTTGATGATAGCATGCTAGTGTTGATGATTGCATGCCAGTGTTGATGATATCATGCCAGTGTTGATGATAGCATGGTAGTGTTGATGATAGCATGCCAGTGTTGATGATAGCATGCTAGTGTTGATGATAGCATGCTAGTGTTGATGATAGCATGCTAGTGTTGATGATAGCATGCTAGTGTTGATGATAGCATGCTAGTGTTAATGACAGCATGCTGGTGTTGATGACAGCATGCTGGTGTTGATGACAGCATTCTGGTGTTAATGCCAGCATAATAGTGTTGATGATAGTATGCTAGTGTTGATGACAGCATGCTAGTGTTGACGATAGCTTGATAGTTTCGATGATAGCATGCTAGTGTTGATGACAGCATGCTAGTGTTGATGATAGCATGCTAGTGTTAATGATAGCATGCTGGGTGTTGATGACAGCATGCTGGTGTTGATGACAGCATTCTGGTGTTAATGCCAGCATGCTAGTGTTGATGATAGTATGCTAGTGTTGATGACAGCATGCTAGTGTTGACGATAGCTTGATAGTTTCGATGATATCATGCTAGAGTTAATGACAGCATGCTATTAATGATGATAGCATGCTAGTATTGTTAATAGCATGCTAGTAATGATGATAGCATGCTAGTGTTAATTAAAGTATGCTTGTATTTTTGACAGCATACTAGTGTTGATACCAGCATGCTGATGTTAATACCAACATGCCAGTGTTGATACCAGCTACTGGTGTTGATCAATACAAGCATGCTAGTGTTTTTGACAGCAAACTAGTGTTGATGATAGCATGCTAGTATTGGTAATAGCATGCTAGTAATGATGATAGCATGCTAGTGTTGATTAAAGTATGCTTGTATTAATGAAAGCATACTAGCGTTGATACCAGCATGCTGATGTTAATACTAGCATGCCAGTATTGATAATAGAATGCTAGTGTTGAAGATAGCATGCTAGTGTTAATGATACTGCTTGTGTTGATGACAGCATACTAATGTGGATATACCAGCATGCTGGTTTTGATATTAGCATGCTTGTGTCGATACCAGCATGCTAATGTTGATCAATACAAGCATGCTAGTGATGATGGAAAGCTAGGGTTTATGACAGCATGCTAGTGTTGATGATAGCATGCTAGTGTTAATTACAGCATGCTAATTGTTTATGATACCATGCTAGTGTTGATGATAGCTTGCTAGTGTTGATGATTGCATGTTAGTGTTTATGATGGCATGTTAGTGTTGATGACAGCATGCTAGTGTTTATGATAGCATGTCAGTGCTGATGACAGCATGCTAGTGTTTATGATAGCATGCTATTGTTGATGACAGCATGCCAGTATTGCTGTTAAAAGAATGAAGATTATAATTAGATAAATAAAGCTGAAAAAAAGGCTAATTTATTTTTAGTTTCGTCAAAAAAAAGCTATTTTCTGAACTTTACCGAATCCAGTATTGGGCCCAGTGCCTACAGTAGGAGTGGATGAATTGGTTAGAGTCCAAACTAAACAAAATTAATCAATAATAAATATTTTTATTTTTAACTTGTTCAGTGAAACTTTTGGAAACTTTTGAATTTCAAGAATTCCTCTATTCAAGGACTAACGTTTTCAATATTCAATGAAAATAAAGAAAAAATGCTATTAAAATCATTATTTCTATTACTCTCTTATAATTTTTATTCGCGGTTTCTCAACAAAATATATTTGAGGATATTTTACCAAAAGTGACTTAAATTAAGCTCCGTAAAGAATTTTCCTTTTTTGAATTTGAACTTAATTCTTTTTTTTTGTTAATTAGATTTTTTGCTTTTGTTTTTGAGCTTCCTGATTAAAAACTAAAAATGATTGTATATCAAGCCATTACCTGTATCCAAGTCAAGACTAGACGACCAACCACATGTTGGTGTAGTGTCAACATCATTGAAACTACAACTACAATAAACATCATTGAAACTACAACTACAATTTGAAAATACAACTACAATAAACATCAATGAAACTACAACTACAATTAACATCATTGAAACTACAACTACAATAAACATCATTGAAAATACAACTACAATAAACATCAATGAAACTACAACTACAATTAACATCATGGAAACTACAACTACAATAAATATCATTGAAACTACAACTACAATAAATATCATTGAAACTACAACTACAATAAATATCATTGACACTATAACTACAATAAACATCATTGAAACTACAACTACAATAAACATCATTGAAACTATAACTACAATAAACATTATTGAAACTACAACTACAATAAACATCATTGAAACCACAACTATGATAAATATCATTGAAACTACAACTGCAATAAGTATCATTGAAACTATAACTACAATAAACATCATTGAAACTACAACTACAATAAACATCATTGAAACTATAACTACAATAATCATCATTGAAACTACAACTACAATAAACATCATTGAAACAAAAACTACAATAAATATCATTGAAACTACAACTACAATAAATATCATTGAAACTACAATTATACCTGACATACCTGACCTTCCTGACTATTTAGCCTACCTGACCTACCTGGCCTACCTGACATACCTGACCTTCCTGACTATTTAGCCAACCTGACCTACCTGGCCTACCTGACATACCTGACCTATTTAGCCTACCTGACCTACCTGACCTACCTGACTTACCTTACATACCTGGCCTACCTGACCTACCTGACCTACCAGACCTACCAGACCTACCTTACCTACCTGACATAAGTGACCTACCTAACCTCTCTGACCTACCTGACCTATACCTAAGCCTGGGTGGGGTATATGGAAGAGTACAAGTGGGTATACTTGAATTCCATAGTAGACCGTCACACCAGGATACAGGGTCCCCCTACACACAAACTTTAGTTTATCAAACACCAGGATACAGGGTCCCCCTACACACAAACTTTAGTTTATCAAACACCAGGATACAGGGTCCCCCTACACACAAACTTTAGTTTATCAAACAAATGTTGGAGATATATCTTATGAAGGGATCAGAAATGTTCTATAATGAAAATTATTAACTTTCTAATAATTTTTATGAACTTTACAAGATTTTTAATGAACACTAAACCTTTTTTTCATCGAACATATTGTTGAAGATGAACTTCTTATTGAATCTTATGCACATTTTATGAACATGCAACTTTTAGTTCATCAATCAAAATGTTGAAAATGAACTTATATTTTAATGTAATGAACATTTAATTAACATACGAACTTTAGTTTACCAGAAATATTCTATAATGAAGATGAACTTAAAACTGCTTTTGATGAACTTCATAATTTCATAACATTTAACCTTTAGTTTATTAGTTTATATACTTTGTAATGTTCTTAATGAACTTCATGTTACAGATGATCTAATGTAAACTTATAAAACCGATCGTGATCTTGATGAAACTAATATTATCTTGATGAAACTAATGTGATCTTGATGAAACTAATGTGATCTTGATGAAACTGATATGATCTTGATGAAACTGATATGATCTTGATGAAACTAATATGATGTTGATGAAACTAATGTGATCTTGATGAAACTAATATGATCTTGATGAAACTAATATGACCTTGATGAAACTAATATGACCTTGATGAAACTAATCTGATCTTAATGAAACTAATATGATCTTGATGAAACTGATATGATCTTGATGAAACTAATATGATCTTGATGAAATTAATATGATCTTGATGAAACTAATATGATCTTGATGAAATTAATATGATCTTGATGAAACTAATATGATCTTGATGAAATATGATCTTGATGAAACTAATATGATCTTGATGAAACTGATATGATCTTGATGAAACTAATATTATCTTGATAAAACTGATATGATCTTGATGACATTAATGATGATCTCCATCAAATGATTATCTTAATGTTTTTAACGAATGATGATCTACATAAATGTGTACCTGTAGAAGATGACCAGGATAACAAGTGAACTGTAGAATACTCCCAGATGGAACTAGTACTCCAGACACATTGGATACAATGGATACTTCACCGTTGTCAAACTTACAATCAATCAATCAAACAATTAATTAATTAATTAATCAATCAAACAATTAATTAACCAATCAATCAATGTTAATGGTTTATTTTGAACCATGTGGAAATACAGATGGATTTTGTGTGTACATTTTACAAAAATACTGTCCAGTACTGTACAGTACAAAACCTGTGTATGTGGTTGGAATGCTGTGAAAACAATAAACGGGGTTATCTGTGTACACTCTACGAGATTGTACAGTACAATACAGTACCTGTGGGTGTTGTAAACACCCTGTAGAAACACAGACCGGGGTTTCTGATGGACTCCATCCATTTTGTGTACAACTGGCGTCTATAGGTCCAACCAGGGTAAATCCCCGGTAGCATTTAAACCTGGAAATCTCAACGTAAAATTTTGATTCCTTTTTTAAACTGAAAAAAATGTCACATACAAATAATATTCCTACATATAGATTTGTAAATTTGTAAAAAAAAAAATCAATTTCAAAAACAAATAAAGTTAGACTAAAAGTGAAATTCTTCATAACTGTTCTTGTGTATAATGATATTTAAAATCTGCTAAGAATTGATTAAGTTTGAACAGGGAGCTGAGCGTGTTTTTATATTTATAACCTGGCCATATATAAACCATATTATATTAGCCATAAATATTCTTTCCCTTTGCTTCTTTAATCTTGAATCAACCACATAAATTTCAGTTTTACAAACTTTTTTTGCTACATTCGGAGTTTTATCATCGTCGAAAGGAGCGTAAATAAATAGTGTGCCAAAATTAGCAGATAAAATGGCGTCCAAGTATAATTTAAACATGGCGGAATAAAACATAAAATGGCGGTTGTAAATAAGTAATGCGAAGTTTACTACCTAATTCTGCGACCTCTCTTCTTCAGTTTGGCAGCGCCGTTCCTTAAAAATATTTGCTCATTTTTTGCAAAATAAAAGCTGCGTAATGCGGGAATGGTTAAACAGTAAATAACCGGACAGAACACGTTTTGTGATTGTATCAATCTCCGTAAATATGCGGCTGGGCATAAAAAATATGACCGTTAATTATATCTTAGAATTTAATCTGAATTTAAATCACTTTAAAGCGTTGGCTGGGAGTCGAGGACAGGTGTTAGAAATCCAACTTTAAATACCAGGCTACAAGCAAGCAATGTCAGGGGGGAAAAGTCTGACTATTGAAATGTTTTCACTGTTGATAGACGGATTAGAAATAATTATATTATTTCATGAATTTAATTGAAAGCTTCAGATTAAAAGCTTACAACTAGTATTTTTCCAACGCTTTAAATTATTGTTTTAAAGATTAAAAATGTTTTAAAGATTATAATGTCAGTTTTGAGTTAGGTTTAACAAACTAACAAGATCTCCCCTGACATGGTTTTACCTAATAGCAGGAGTGGAACAAAATAATTGTGCAGTTGGAACCAAGCTCAACAAAACTGATACAACTAGATAAACCATAGAAATGTTGTAAATAATTTAGATTAGATTAGAAAGGATTAAAAAGTTTTCCCAGATTTTCAGAAAGAGGAGGGTGGGGGGGGGCGTTGCGCATTTGCCATTTACACTCTACAGGGCACAGAAAACATAAGTCAAATAAAGTATAAAGGAATTAGAATACAGGATACAGGATATAACATACAATTTACAAAATGCAATGAAAGTGTACACGATATAAGATACAGGATACAAGATACAGGATACAAGATACAGGATACAAGATACAGGATACAAGATACAGGATACAAGATACACGATACAAGATACACGATATAAGATACAGGATACAAGATACACGATACAAGATACACGATACAAGATACACGATACAAGATACACGATACAAGATACACGATACAAGATACACGATACAAGATACACATGATACAAGATACAGGATACAGGACACATGATTACAAGATACAGGATACAAGATACAGGACACATGATTACAGGATACAGGATACAGGATACAGGACACATGATCCAAGATACAGGATACAAGATACAGGATACAGGACACATGATTACAAGATACAGGATACAGGATACATGATTACAAGGTACAGGATACAAGATACAGGATACAGGATACAGGACACATGATACAAGATACAGGATACAGGACACATGATTACCAGATACAAGATACAGGATAAAAGATACAGGACACATGATACAAGATACAGGATACAGGATGATTACAAGATACAGGATACAGGACACATGATTACAAGATACATGATACAAGATACAGGACACATGATACAAGATACAGGATACAGGACACATGATTACAAGATACAGGATACAGGATACAAGATACAGGACACATGATACAAGATACAGGATACAGGACACATGATTACAAGATACAGGATACAAGATACATGATTACAAGATACAGGATACAAGATACAGGATACAGGATACAGGACACATGATTACAAGATACAGGATACAGGACACATGATTACAAGATACAGGATACAGGACACATGATTACAAGATACAGGATACAAAATAAAATTTACAGCCACAGCCTCACAGGATACAGTGTTAATCGTTTTCAAAAACGATCGAAAAAACGATCGTTTTTTAAAACGAACCATCGTTTTGAACTTTGTGAAAACGAAAAAACATTATTTTTTTTAAACGAAAAGCAATCGTTTTGGAAAATAATTTCTCTAAAGAATATGAGTTTTATGACAATTGATTTCAAGATAAGGTTTTGAATGTTGTCTTAAATGTTAATTTTTTATCATTACAAATAAATATTTTATCATTACAAATATCATTACCTCGGATTTTCCGACCAACAATGTATTTTCTCTTCAAAGATTGTTAACGATCGCTAATAAAAGGTCGTTGTTACCGGTCGTTAAAAATGGGTCGTTTTCAAAAGCGGCCGTTTTTCAAAAACGAAAAACAATCGTTTTTAAAAGAACGATATTTTTTCCAAAACGATCGTTTCGTTTTTTGCTTTTTCTTCGTCGTTTTTAAACGAGACGATCGTTTTTCAAAAAATTGGAAACGATCCATCCCTAAGGATCAGGATACAATATATAAAATACAGATGCAGCTAAAGAATAAAAACATATATGGATACAACATAAAAGATACAACCTACAAGACTACAAGACGCATGATACGATACAAAGGGTACAAGATAACGGATACAGGAAAAAGAATTAAGATTCCATCCTACTGGACAAAAGGCACAAAAAACTTTGAAAGTCGGCAAGTTGCATAAAAACATTTAATATTGATCTGCACTGCTAATACATTAAATTCACATTTATTTTTGTCGCTGTAAAATCCTGCGAAAAAAAAAACTAAATTCTAATTTTTCAAATCCAAATTTTGCAACAACTGTTCAATTTTGCTGTCAGTGGCTGTAAATTAGATTCTAAAAATCAACCTTCCTAAGAATCTAAAAAGAGGGAACCCACAATTTAAGAAAAATACTTAATAGAATCCGTACAGTCGTCTCTAAAGCATCATTTTTTTAGGGAACCCTGTATAGTTTCAGTGTTATATAAAACGCAAGTATATAATTCTAAGGTAAATTTCACAATTAAAAGAAATAACGAAGACGCTTCTGTTCAATCTGTCAATATATTACACAATTTCAAATTTCAAATTCTGTTCTTCTTAAATGAGAATTAGAATATTTAAGCTTGCACCTATACAATTGAACAAATGTGGTGGGTTTATTTATATATGCCATCTTGACCAGATGCAAGTTTAACTGGACTTTTTTTTTGCAAATTTTAGCAGTTAAAACTGCAGTTCCAGTTTACACTTCATACAAGGTGCACAAATTTTGCAAAGCTTCAATTATGTCAGGAATAAATTTTTGATACGAACTAGAAAGAACTTTATAACTTTTATATTTTAAATAAAAAATCCTGAATGTGCGCAGTTAATAATCTTTGTATTAATTGATAACATTGGATAAAAATTCATTTAACTCACTACATGCTATTATTAGCTTGAGAGCCCAACGTTGTCACAAAGTGAATATTTATTGCCTTGGGTACTAATAGTTACTCCTGCTGTTTACCCGCACTTTGTCGTAAATTACGACTATGTCTATTTTTCCCCATAAAAGTAGACCCACTCAACTTAGAATCTCAAAACCAAACTGAGAAAATTCTCATGGTTCTCCTGAGTTCCCCAATCAAAATTTGAGATAAATCGGTTCCTGAGTTATTTTCGGACATACATACAAACAAACAGACAAAAAGACATTACAACATGTTACAACATTTATACAATTTTGCATATTTTATGTTGTTACAAAGCAATTAGTTTTACCAATACCGATGCGAAATTCATTGAACTGTTTAAAATCATAAATTGAGTCGAACAGTCGTCTTCTTACTCCACAATTTTAGAGGTTCCATGCTGTTCATATTCTTGGCACTTACCTAGCAAATTTCTATACATTTTTCTTAAAATTCTGTTAAACATAATTTACTTTTAAGCGCAAATAAAACTTTTCAGCTAATCATTAATTTAAATTTACAATTGTCAGAGGTTGAATAAATGTTCGTATAAGGGAGACAACTTGTGCGTAAAAACTAAATAAGGAAACAAAGTGTAGAGAAGAAACATTTACCCGTTTAGTTAGGCTTTTCCCTTCTTTTAACACCCTCAAGACCCCCCATGGTTGGAAATTAAAAACCTGATTTATTTGTGGGTTTAGAAGCCTTTTACTCAGGACCCCCTCCCCTATACTTTGGCTATCATGCATCCCCCCTTCTTTTTTTAGTTTTTTTTTTACATTTTTTGGGGTTTTTAGTGCTTTTTTAAAATTTAAATTAAAACATTTCATTCTTTAAATTTCATTTTTCCCAAATTAAGTTAAAACTATTTTCATAAATTGCTACAAGATTAATTTTTATTGACTAATTTGTCTTACATATAGGGTTAACCACAAGGGATGAGACCGTAAAGACGACCTAAAGCTCATTTAGTATGACAATCTTAAGGTTAAATAAAGTCTTCTACCTTGAATAAAGACTTTTCATGGCTTATTAAATGAGTTGGCATAGAAAGAAACAAGTCGCATCCTATGTGGGTCACCCTGTATTGTATGTGTATATAACTTTTAATATTTACTATTGTTCACTGTTTAAAGAATGTGATAGATAGATCGATAGATAGATCGATAGATAGATCGATAGATAGATAGATAGATAGATAGATAGATAGATATAGGCAAACAGATAGGCATATTAACAGACAGACATTAAAAAGACAACTTACAAACATTGTGAATAATAAACTATAAAAAGTTGAGACTGCTCTGAATGTATTACATGTAGTAAATGCCCTACTCCAAAAGAATTTCTCAATCCCGTATCAACCCAGGGACAACTCAATCTCTGAACTCTGAACTATCAATGCCTCAACTCTGACACGATCTTATAAACTATCAATGCCTCAACTCTGACACGATCTTATAAACTATCAATGCCTCAACTCTGACACGATCTTATAAACTATCAATGTCTCAACTCTGACACGATCTTATAAACTATCAATGTCTCAACTCTGACACGATCTTATAAACTATCAATGTCTCAACTCGGACACGATCTTATAGACTATCAATGCCTCAACTCAGACATGATCTCATAAACTATCAATGCCTCAACTCAGACATGATCTCATAAACTATCAATGCCTCAACTCTGTGTCCTTAAATAGAAACGTATTTAAGCTAATCACAATATGGGTTCGACGGAGTCACATATATACATATCTAGGTTAGCTTAAATGCAATACAAGATTTGCATATTTACGTAAAAGCACATTTAGATTTACAGACAATGTACAACGCAATTTATCTAGGTTACTATGGGATCTGCCATCTGTATTTTTTACATACATAGTTATATACAATATATACTATCTGATCTATATATATTGTTGTTGTAATCTCTGTCCGATCATACTCATCAACCGATTAACCAATTTGCCACAAATTTTGATTGGGAAACTCGGCAAAATGGGAATGTTGTTTGCTTGGTATAAAAATTCAAAGTTAAGTGGGTAAACTATATCAGCAAAGTTAAGTGGGTAAACTATATCAGCAAAGTTAAGTGGGTAAACTATATCAGCAAAGTTAAGTGGGTAAACTATATCAGCAAAAACTTAGATACCAGCCAAGGCTGGGTTCCCAAGCTAGAAGATAAATAAAAATGGTAACATTTAGTATCTGAAAAATATCGATAGTGAAAAATATCTGAAAAATATCATAAACATATCGTCATATTGAAACATTTTGTAAAATATATGTATTATGTATTGTTAAATAGATATTTGTCTTTCAATTAAAAGTCTTTCAGTCTATCTTTTTGGCAGTCTAAAGTTCTATCCATATAAAAGTATATCTACTAATGTCCCCAGTAATGTATGTCTGTTTATCTCTATACTAAGCGCTTCTTCCAAATATAGACTTGAAAGGCTTGAAAAGACACCTTTAATGCCTGTAAATGCCACTTGGATATTTGCCTGCGATACCCTGCCTTGCTCTAGTCTACTCTACTCTACTCTACTCTACTCTACTCTACTCTACTCTACTCTACTCTACTCTACTCTACTCTACTCTCCTCTACTCTACTCTACTCTACTCTACTCTCCTCTACTCTACTCTACTCTACTCT